TTAGTGTTGAAACTCAAGGAAATCGGTCTAGATGAAAATGCTTGTTCTTGGGTAGAACATTGGCTTAAAAACAGAGTACAAAGAGTTGTCATTAATGGTAAATTTTCAAGCTGGACAAAGGTGGCAAGTGGTGTCCCTCAGGGGTCTGTTCTGGGACTCCTTCTATTTAACATGTTTATAAATGATCTTGAAATAGGCATTGAAGGCCATGTTTCAGTATTTGCAGATGACACAAAACTCGGTAAAATAATACAATGTGAGCAAGATATTACTTTGCTGCAGAGGGATTTAGATAGACTGGGGGACTGGGCACTCAAATGGCAGATTAATTTTAATGTTGAAAAATGCAAAGTTATGCACTTCGGCATAAAGAATACACAAGCAGCATATACTCTTAATGGAAGCGAATTAGGGATAACAACACATGAAAAGGACTTGGGAATTGTTATAGACAACAAACTATGCAACAATGTGCAATGTCAATCAGCAGTGGCCAAGGCCAGAAAGGTATTGTCATGCATGAAAAAGGGCATTAATTCTCGGGACGAGAATATCATTTTGCCTCTTTATAAATCACTGGTAAGACCACATGTTGAATATGCTCTGCAATTTTGGGCACCTGTTCTAAAGAAGGATATTATGGCACTAGAAAAAGTGCAGAGGCGGGCTACAAAATTAATAAAAGGAATGGAACATATCGGCTATGAAGAAAGGTTAACAAATTTAAACCTATTTAGTTTAGAAAAACGTCGCCTGAGAGGGGATATGATAACATTATACAAATATATTCGGGGCCAATACAAACCATTGTGTGGAACTCTATTCACAAACCGGACTTTACATAGGACACGAGGCCATGCGTTTAGACTGGAAGAAAGAAGATTTAGTCTAAGGCAAAGGAAAGGTTTTTTTACTGTAAGAACAATCAGGATGTGGAATTCTCTGCCTGAAGAAGTGGTTTTATCAGAGTCCATACATATGTTCAAACAGCTACTAGATGCATACTTGCAAAAACAGACCATTCAAGGATATAATCTTTCAATGTATGGTAATAACTTCTTGATCCAAGGATAAATCTGACTGCCATTCTGGGGTCAAGGAGGAAGTTTTTTTCTTAGCTTGTTGCAAAATTGTGCTTCAAACTGGTTTTTTTTGCCTTCTCTTGGATCAACAGCAAAAAGCAAATGTGAGGAAGGCTGAACTTGATGGACGCAAGTCTCTTTTCAGCTATGTAACTATGTAACTATGAAAGTCAAACTGAGAGGTCAGTTTATAAGGAAAACTGTTGCCTGGATACAATTTTAAAACAATTTCCATATGTCCTTTGCAGACTTTACATGCTGGAAAAACACAGGTGCCAACTGCTGTGGCTTTCTGCAGTGTGCAGACCAGCAAGGAGGGCAGGGTTGAGTAGTGGGTGGAAGATGATGTGGAGGATGATGAGGTCCTAGACCCCACATGGAATCAAGGTCATGTGAGTGACGTGCAGTTTGGAGGAAGAGTCGCTGGTCGCATAGAGGCACCAGCACAGTATAAGAGGGAGCTGGGTGCAAAAGCGGAGCGGCCGTCCCTTAGCGCTCATTGGCATGTATTATCTTTAGAATTCCCACAGTTATCCAAGTAACAGTTGAAGCAATAAAAAGAATCATAACAGATTTAACGAGCCATTCATAGTTTTGCAGTCCAGTGACCGGGACCCAGACACTGTCTGGACGACGGTCGGACGACCGGGACCCAGTATGCCTGATGTAGTTAGGAGTCACAGTGTGGAATGGATTAGCAGGGTCTGGTGTGGGGTAACTGCACACCCCCCGGTGTTGAGCACCAGTGTTTGTGCGGCCACATACCAGGACCCTGATGCAGCTTCAGTAAACAGAGTACTGGATACCAGAAGCCATCACCAGATGGATCCACAACTTGGAACAGGATGTGACATTCACTGTAGCGGCTGTGCACGCTTTCGGCGTTCTCACCCTGCTGCTGCTCGCCTGTCTGTGCTGCAGCTTAACTTTGGCCTTCCCGCTCACCGCCTCATATGCGATGTGCCCACAAGGTGGAACTCCACCCTGCACTTTCTGGAGAGACTGTTTGAGCAGCAGCAGGCGATATTGGAGTTTCAGCTGCAACACGTATCGGTCAGTGGCTCTGCACCAGACTTCCCTCCAATTGATCAGAGTTAAAGTATTTGAAGTGGACTCATTACAGTTACAGGGCCTCTAAAGAGTCCTGTATTGTTATTTGTTGTCACTACCTTCCCGCATTGGGAGTGGGTCATTTGTGCGCCTGCTGCCATCCTTGCATGTGGTAGTCATTTGTCACGGTCCCTGTATGGAATCGAACCCTGATTCCCCATTACTCGTGTTCACCATGGTAGGCGCAGTCAATGGCATTGAAAGTTGATATGGATGCGTCGTCGCCTTCTCGTTTGG